AATAATTTATGCTGATCGCATYAACTTTGGCCTACAATTCGACTGCCACTTTGCATTGCAATGTGTGTTTGTGCTTGCGCGTGTGCAAACACCGCTGCCGCACGCCCCTCTCAGCGCGCGYAAAAATAATCGCGATGATGAACGGCTTTTTAAATGTCAAACAAATTATTTTTCCTGCATACGGCTAGTCATAACAACGACTTGCCCGRATAATTATAAACATATATACATACATAYACATATGTAMGAGCATGCCAGTGWGATAGTGGCGCTTATAAAACATGCATTTAATACACAACCAGACATACAATAGGTAAATGCATTTTAATTGCAACTTTATGCTGCTGACCACGAAATAGCTGTGCACATTGCATTGYCGTAATCATTATTGTAATCATTTATTGAGTCTAAAAGTGACGTGCTGATAACTGGATCTTTACTGCCGGCGCTTAAACTGGGCCGAAGGCTATTGGAAAGCAACACGTAGCGCGTATGTTTGTAAGTATGTATGCACTGCATAAACTRCAAAAAATGGCGCATCAAAATGTCATATACATATATGTATGTATGTGTTCAGACGGGCTATTAATAAAACTCTGAAATTAATGGATTTCTSTTGCATTTGCCTGCTCTGTGGCGMGATTGAATTCAGCGAATTTCTGCCCGCGCATAAATCACAATTTGCGTCAATTTGCTTAGAATTATTTTCACATTAATGATTTTTCATGCCATGAGGCGATGTTGTCGCATTTCCGTTTTATCGACGACGCACGCATTTCATCTTATTCGTAAATACGCGAACTACTGCCTTAGTTATTTAGATATGGTTCAGAAATTTTGCTCACACTCTTTTCTCCACAAAACGCTGTTTATTTGTCGAAACTGTCGATAAAAGGATGACCACAGCACATAGCTGTCCTACAAAGTGCACGATCAGAATTAAGTGTTTGTATGGAAAATTACTTTAGTTTTCGAGATAACTTAACGAAATTTGGAGAGGGATATTTTCTAAGGTGCTCATATAATATATGAAGATAGAGTTCAAATCGGATGACTATATCATGAAGCTGCCATACAAACTTRATGATCGACATCAATCGCTTATATGAAAACCATTATCAGTTGATGAGATATCTCCAAGTAATATGACATAAATTATTGTATATTTGTACCATTATCACATCCATAAAAATAATTCAAATCGGACCACTATATCATATAGMTGCCATACAAACTGACTGAGCAAACTTAAGTCCTTGTAGTATGAAAATCTTTTTTATTTGACGATCTATCKTCACGAAATTTTACATAGATTATTGTCCAAAGCAACGATATATTCTCCTAAGAAATTATTTAGATCGTACCACTATAGCATGTAGCTGTCATATAAAATGATCGTTCAAAATCAATTATAAAGTCACTCTGCCTAACAACTTAGTGCTACAATCACAAA